AAAGTTGTTTACTGAACTATAGTCACGTTTGGTTTCCTTTTTGTGTTTGTTTACAAAATGCATTCACAATTGTGGTATTCGTGAGTTCTTCATGTACAGTATGGATTCTGCTTTACTGGTATTTTTGGGTCTTATTTTTGAAGTGTTGTCCATCCATTCTATGACAGCACACTAACCAAAGTCATTTCTGAAATTTGGTAGCATGTCGATATTGTTACAGTACCACAAAGTGTAAAAACTAGTTACGTTGTTTGAATAAAATTTGATGGAAAGTATAGCCATGATCCAAGAAGGTCCTGATTATTTATTGATAATAATTGCACTTCTACAGGCCAAAAAGATTTTATATATAGCTGGTATTCTACAAAAATTGTTTCGGCCATCACCCATTAAGAATTATTGTCCAATTATGTGTATTTTGATAAAGACCCAGATACAGTTGTGAACATTTGCTATTATTGAAACAACAAATGTTTTGCTTTCTAGTTTAAATAGCTTAGTTATCCATCTATAATTTACATTATATATTATTCTGCATTGTTTAAATCTGATAATTAGAAACTCTCAGTTTGATTGTGACAAAAGAAAACAATCCAGGCCTCTGTCAATCATTAGGGGTCCAGGTCCATAATTAGTGTTTTTTTTCTCCTCAGAGGAGGTCTGCTACTCCAAACACATTCTTCAGCTGACCACCACGCCGTCTTTAGCATGCGTCTCAAATGAAAATAACAACTGAACTCTGGGAGCACTGTAAGTGTACAAAGCACAGTCTTCCAGTGAGGTCAAAAGCCATGCCACTTCACTTTTAAAAGCTTTCTGCAGCAGCAACAATTAGCTGTCTTTGCTTCTCTCTGTCTAGCCACAGAATTGCACTTAATTGTGCCTCTGTCTGCAGGAGTTTCAACATTTTTCCCCTCTTGAGTTGTACTGTCACTTAAACTGCAGTAATCAGAGTGTCTGACCTCGTATAGAACCAAGGCACTACCTATTCTCAATGTAAAGTATACTATCTATTTAATTGGCACCCAGGGAATAGGGTGCATTAACTCTCAGCAGGCCGTTGTAAAAGAATGTTGATTAGTTCAACAATGAAATGTGTGTTCCCCATGACAAAGAACTGAAGGAGAGTCAGAACAACTCTTTAATCTATATTGAGATCTCAGTGAGATCCTTTTGAACAGGCTGGATAAACATGAATGGGCTCAAAAAGAAAGTGCATGTACAAATAGAGGTGTAAATCTTCATTGGCCTCAAGATTCGATTTTGATTCACCTGTCAATGATTTGAATGCACGATGATTTAAGATTTATTAATCCCGCGAGGTGAAATAGAATGTTTTCACTCTGTTATTATTATGTTAGTATTTTACACACAAGTCCAAAAGGTTTGTGCACATGCACAAACCGGACCCATGGAGAGATGTCAGAGTGAGGGGGCTGCCCCTCAGTGCGGTGCCCCGAGCAGTTGGGGGTTCAGGGGCTCAAGGCCTCCTTCGGCAGTGGCCAGGAGGTAAACCGGCACCTCTCCAGCCACCAGTCCACACTCCGCAACTCTGTTCCGAGCTGGATTCAAACCGGCGACCCTCCAGTTACCAGCCTAATCCTGAGTAGCAGCCCATCCCATTTAGGAGCAGTGGGCTGCCAAGTCCGAACAGACTGAGCTAATGCCGGCCATTTTCGGTGCATCTCAATGTATAACATCTTCAATTTTCTATATTACTGCACAAGGCCATTTTTATATCAATTAATACAAACAGTCAGATAAGTCTGAACTCCCTTTTTATTTATAAAGTGTGTTCAAAAATCAGACTACAACAGGCTATAATATAAAAAGCTGCATCTGTATAATGTCACTATTTGCGTGACCCACCTAAGAGGCAGCAAAGCCCATCCACAATTCTTGACTGATTAGCTTATAAAAGTAACACTCACTGTTGATTTCTACCTCCCTCCTCCATATCTCCCAACATAATACAGTTAGCCTAATGTTCACCGATTATTCAATGCAAGAGGAAAGTTGCAACGTAACAATGTAACTTAACATCTTCATTGTCCGGTTATTGTTTTTATGAATGATTCACGGTTATATTCTGTCACTGCATCAACGCAGAGTTTTCTACATCTGCATTGCCATGCTTTTTATAACTGAGAAATTTCCACACCTCCATATACAAGCATCTTCCATACTTTAATGTGTATGAATAAATGTAAACAAATGCTGAAATGCTAACATGTTCACATTCAGACCCAATTTTAATCTTGAATGATGTTAAGTCATAATGTGTGTGGGATACTTGGTATGAAATTAAACATGTTATTGAGTGAAAAGAAAAACATTATTTATTGTGTTTGATTATCTTTTGGCGCAGTGATAAAAAAGATTTTTGCAAGTTTACAAGTCAAGATGGCGTTAGAGCAGAAAAGTGGTCTGTATCAACTATGTGCATACTGGAGCCAAACAAACTTATAAATATAAAAAATTATAACATTTACAGATGCTCATGCCGTGCAGGGCTCATTTTATTGTTCTCTGTCATGACGAACCGCTGGAGGTCATGAAATTTATGCTAGCATAAGCACTGAATCTATTCAATCAACATGTTAAATCCAGAGATGCAGATGTGAAGGCTGACTTGATGCCCAATGCCCAGAGGATGATGTCATGTCTCTGTGTGTCAGCGGGTCAGGAAAGTCACGCCTGTCTTGTCATGGTGTGAGCAGCAGCTCACTACCTAGTGAGAGGGGGATTTGAACCTAGGGAGATTTGTGAAATGGTTTGTGTGGTTAATCTGCACTGATTCAAAGGCTGTTACAACAGATACCATATTTTCACCTCCTTCTCCTCTGTCTCTTCTCCTCACACTCGCTTGCACTGAGACTTAACACCAATTTCTGTATATGAACTGTAGATCCTCTTCTGTGCTTTGATAATCCCTTTGATGTCAGACTGTCTGCAGTGATGAGTCTGTTTAAGGGGTTTAGTGTAGTGGCTTTGGCCTCGGAGAGATTTTTCCTGGAAAATACAAAGCACTGTTCGGGCTCAGCTGCCCGGGCTGTGTGCGCGGGCACAGATGGGCTTGGTGCTGATTTGGATGGAGGCGCTGGCATGGGGCTGGGCATCACGGCGGCAAGAGCTATTGTGCCAGCAAGTCACGTTCCACGTCGCGTGCCCGCTGGGGGCATCGCTTGAATAATCTTGGAGGGCTCATTGAGTTTTCTTTCCTGTTTTTTTTTTTGCTTTTCTCTGACCTAACAGTTAGACACAATCTCTCTCTGTTTGAATGTCTGGAAAGATTGAGTGTTTAGAAGACAATGGAACTCTTCACTATAAGCGTGTAATCCAAAGTTGAGGAGGTTGCATAGGATGACGGACTCCAAACTATGCTTGGCTCATAAACTAATGGTCATTGAATGTCATTTCATGTTTAATTTATGTCACTAGATCTGGTTCATTTTTTTGTTCATTTGTGCCTATGTCCTTAAAAGCTGCAGAAAACATGACATAAAAAAGGTGCATTTTAATTCCTAAATATTATCTTTCATACAAGTATTGAGACCACATGGATAACATAAAAAATAAAAGGTTTTACTTTGCATTGAGTTATGTCATTTGGCATGTTTGCAAACAGTGGAGCAAAATGCTTTAGAGTTATGATTGTATAAGAAATTTCAGATTGTGTATTTGCATGATTTACGTTTCTCTCTTGCTACATTTCTGTGGCACTTTGTGGCTCTTGTCCTAGCTGAGAGATTGCAGAAACTACTGCAAGCAATCTTTCTTAAAAGGCATCACGTGTGGCTATGCATCACATACAGCATAATGGCCTGTGCACATATACTTTGTCCTCAGACCGCCTGTTTCAATAGAAAAGAAATCCATCCAATGCTGATAGATTCTTCATCATGGCTGAAACATTTTGACATTAAGACTATACAGACAATGTTTGATGTGTTCATCATTAACTTGATTGATGGGGTTGAATAGATTTCTCTTGACAAAGATCCATCACTTAGCTTTAAGTACAGTGGTTTGCTGGTCAGCAACAGGAATATACTTCAGCTGTGTGTCCCAAACTTGAAAGCTTGCCCCCCCCCGGTTACCTTCTCTACCTTTGGCTCTTCCCAACTCTCTTTCCAAAGTCTGCAGGCAAGTCTTAGGAAACATATTTGTGGACATGGACATGGTCATGTATATATGTGTAACCGTTGCAGACTTTTCTTTTCCTTTCCTACAATGAAACACGCTCTTTTCTGTGTCTCTGCCTCTGTCTCCCTCCTTTAACCCCGCTGTCATGGTGAAAGAATCTATCGCTCATAGCCAGTTCAACACGTGCAGTTCAGCTGAGAGAATGCCAGTATGCACCGTATATGGCTCCTGCCCTGGTTCTTTATTTCTCATCTGAGACTGCTGTTGAAAGCGTTAGCCTATAAATGGAATTGTTTCAGTCTGGCATGTATATTTGATTTGTTGCTTTTCAGCATGATTGTCAATATCTTACTTAATGTTCAGAATAGTGGCCAGGAGCAGAGAGGTGAGATAATTTGAGGACTTTTATATCCCCTTGCAGATTGTATACTGATGCTAGTCTGCCTGTGAGCCGGTAAAATGTTGTCATGGGATTTTCTCTTTTTGTGTGGCTTACACTCATGCAGAGGGAGTGCCATTTCCTCCACATTTATTGTCAAAGCTCACCAGTGTCTCTTGGTACAACTGTTTTCCCTGGCACTAGAATTTATGGTGGGTTTTTGCAATAGAAGTCCAGCTACCTTCTGTTATGTCATTGGAATTCAGCTAAGCTGAAACCCTTGGCTCTTAGCTGTAGATGTATCATGCTCTCTTATGAAATGCCTATATGACATAAAGTGGTGGATGTCGAGTGTGGAAGAATTTGAATGTTTGACAGTCCAGTTCTCCCATATGATCAGGATTTTAAATCCAATGAATAAGTTCCAGTTTTTCCTCTCCACGTCATCACTTATCATTTTTCTCTCTTAAAACAGAGGACTCCAAGAGGCCCGTTGCTTTTGAGAGCAGAGGGAATATGGGAGAGGAGCTGGACTCTCTCAGAGCCACGATAGATGATCAACACATTTATGACAACTCCACCAGCACACACCACAGATCCCCCCGCAGACACAAGCGTTTCCTTTCCTACCCTCGCTACGTTGAGCTGATGGTGACAGCAGATGCCAAAATGGTGCGTCACCATGGACGCAACCTAGAGCACTATATCCTAACAATCATGTCAGTAGTAAGTAAAATAATGTTCCTAAAAATTATTATTTTGTCTCTATGTTTTTGTCGTGATTTAAAAAAAATGTTGTTTGTGCAGTATTATTAAATCATTTGGTGTGAGTTTGACGATGTGTTATCATTTTAGGTGAATAAATACATGTGTACGCATACAGTTCATCAGTTTTTTTTTAAACAGTTGATTCACCCAAATTACAAAATTAAACATGTTTTTCTATCTACATGTACTGGTATCTAGCCATGCAGATAGTCTGGTTTCAAAGTATCTGTCCAGGTTTTGAGATCCATCTCTGAGATTTCTGCCCCCACCTCAGTACTAACAGAAAGTGACACTTTCTAACGCTAGCCTGTCACGATAGCTTTCTGAGCTAGTTAGCTTGCTAACTATCAGTTAACTTCCAGTTGGAGAAAGCTTTGATGCTAATAGGAAAATATGGTCACATTCCCCGTAGTTCAGCACTGTCAGCACCACAAATTCCAATTTCAAAGCTCACCAATTTTAACCTGGCGTAAAATATTTGCTGGACTCTTGCCACGAAATTTAGTGCAACAGAGGCTAAATACAATGGAAGTGAAAATAATTTTTGAGTTCACACAGAATTTGAAAAATTGGAATTTACTAATTGTCCTATTACTTTACATAATCAAACCCTGTTGTGAGCAGTTTTCATTAGACTGTGAGGACTGAATTTTAAGAAATGCTGTGAACAGCACCACATACAAAATCCAGAAATCTTTGTATTTGGTTAGTAGCAGAAATCTCAGAAATTGACACCTCAAAACTTGGGGCAAATAAAACCCAAATCTCCATGAAATAAAGGAGGCAAGAAAGGTTGTTTTGTAATTTGGTGAACCAAGCCTTTTAAAATGTAAACCAAAACCCCCCCAGTCCAGGTCTATGTGTTTCTAGCCTCAGATGTTACTGTTTGACATTTTGGTTGTAAACCCTGGTGTGACCCTAGCATGCTGCTGCTTCAACGAAAGTGGGCCAGTTAATTGGTAAAATCCTGACTCAGCACCTTGACCTCTTTATGAGTCCCATATCCGACTGCGAGAGCTCGCCGGTAATAAAGTCAGTTACACTGTGATTGACTGCCTGTCCGGACTGTTAGAGTTAAAGTGTTGGGGGAGTCTGTGTGTCAAAGCAGGATAGGTTATCAATTGTACTGAGCTGTGTGTACCTTGTGCTGGCTCCTCCCAGTATGGCAGACACAATGTTCAAAACACTCTAATGATTGTCAGTGATGTGTTATCCTTGAGCAAGACTGAGAGGGTACAGTCAATGTTAAATGTGCCAGGCCACCTTTTTTGCCAGGTTTGAAGACAAAACATTAGTTCTGCCATGCTTGTGTCTACAGACCAGGGGAGCAGACACACTCAAAGCTGTTCCTTTCCTCTTTCACAGTCTCCCAGCCACAATTTAGCCAAACCAGCCAAAATATAAGTTTGTATTTACCAGCTAGTAGCTGGTAGTTTTTCACATGTTTAAACTGGACATGTACATTTGTCTTCCCTGACAAATACATTTGATAAAATGCAAATGAGTCCAAATTCCCCCTGAAAGACACCACCCCCACGTAAGACGTGTTTGATGAACCACCAAATTTTTTTAAAATTTCAAAAAATTCCTTATTATTTAGTGTTTTATGTTTTTTTTGCCTAACATCATTCAATTTTAAGATATTTTGTGTAGAAAATATCAGAATCTGTCTTACATAAACAATGAGTGAATGAGGTAGACCTTTCTCTGAGCGTAATTTTTTATATAAGTAATATTCATTTTAGTTTAAATAAACAATTTGAGTAACGTATTTCTGGGGAAAGGAATTGAAGGCCTGTCCCATATAGACACCTGTTCCAAATATAGGCAGGTTGACTTTTGACTTTTTTGATTAAAGCAAATAAAAACCCTGGCTATTAATTGAAGTTTTACAGTATGTGGGTAATCAAACATTGTAAACCCTTCTTTATGTCATTTAACACCAGAGATTTCCAGAACTATGACAGAGAATATGACCTCAGTGTCCTCAGTGGTAGCTATGACCCTGCTGATATTTCTTTAGTACCCTCAGATCTTGTTTTTAGTTAACTGGCCGTGTGGGATACTGCAGTGATGGTCCAGTGTAGGCTGAAATCCCCTTCACTTCTGATTCTGCCACTAATCATACAACAACATACACTGGGGCGAGAGCATACAGAACAAGGGCATGTGTTACAGTTGGACTTAGAGCATTTAAAGACAGGCTCCCATTGCTCATTTTGGACAGGCCTGGGCCATGGTTGCCTCCCCCCAGGCTCAGACAAGCTAAATGTTTATAGTGGACTAATGAGTTCCTGTCAGGAGGCCGTACACGGCCCCAGGAGACTGTTGGCCGACCGTGACAGGGGTGCACGAGAAAAGCAAGAGAAGCAGAGACGAAATACTAGAGAGGGAATGTTTTGTTGTCCTCACAGAGTGGCTCTGAGCTTCAGCTTTGTTAAAGTTTCACATTTGTTGCCGGGTCCAGGTTTTCTTTGCCATGGTCTGTGGGGGGAATTGTAATTGGTTTTAATACCCTGTTGATTAAACTTACCCTGAAAAAGACATTTTTTATTTCTTTTGACTTCAATAAACTGTTACTACTTTCATTAAACCCCATGAAGCTTAACTAGAAAAAAAGCAAGAGCTATATTTTCTAATTCCAAGTAAGAAGTATACTAGCCTGTTTACTTTCCCTATCTGTGCTGTGGTTCAGGTTAGTGGAGGTTTGCATTTTTTGTCTGTGTGTTTTGTCTTTGTTACAGGTAGCAGCAGTGTACAGGGACCCCAGCGTAGGAAACCTCATCAACATCATGATTGTCAAGCTAGTCGTCGTCCACAATGAACAGGTGAGTGCGTGGGTCTTAAATGCAACCTGTATCCAGCTCTCCAATATGGCTGATGTCAGTGCAGGTGTCCTTGGCCTGGCCTTTTCTCTGTGGGCCTTTTTGAAAGGACACTGCCTGCCTTGTCAGACTCAAGTCTCAAGAGAGGTTGCCATGGAAAACAAACTATACTATAGTGAGGCAGCTAGCCACCTGCAAATGAAAGGTGGCTAAAGTGACTCGCTGTGCTTTGACATAGTAACTGATAGTTGAATTCATTTATATAGTATTTGTCAACCTGGGTATAATTCACATTGTTGTCCATTATGACTATTGGTCATAATACACCTGTTATGGAACCGTTGGTCCCAATGCATTTTTCCAAAAAAACACATTAAACAGGAACCTTAAACTAAAAAAAACAATCAAATCAAATCTCAAAATACAGAAAGATATGACCTGGAAACCCCTTTAGCTGTTAGCTGTAGTGAACTTAATAGTACAGCTGATCCATTTCTGGGTCAACAGGCCGGCCAACTTAATGGCATTAATGTGATCATTGCATGCTAGATGCAGTAGTCATAGTTGTTTCAGTCAGTTTTAACAAAGTGGACTGAAATGTAGGACTCTGACTCAGAATGATAACGATAAGGTTTTTATTAAGAACAAGGAAATGGTGATGGAATGAAAGCCTGGGTTGGAAATCCAGAGCTGGCTGGGAGTGATGGCATGGCAAGTGGAGAATGAAGGGAGGCTGGCAGGACGCAAACGGGATGCAGGCGAGGCATAAAGAACACAGACTAATGCAAAGCAAAACACACAAAGAGCAAAGTCGGACAAAAAAAATTAAGAATCACTGAGTTTTGGCTGAGAATAACCACCACAGAGGTGGAAATAACAATCTGCCGATGAGTGGTGAAAGAGCCGGTGTACATACACTGCGGGCTGATGGTGTGATGGTAGGCAGGTGAGTAGACTGGGTGGGATGATTAATTGATAGAGACCAGGTGTGAAGCTTCAGCCAGGAGAGAGAGAGAGACAAGAATCCAATGGACTCACAGGCAGACAAACACACAGGGAAAACAGGAAACACTGAAGGAAGGAACATCTGGGGACACTGGGAAACACGGACATACTGTCACATCTGTAACAGGAATACTGTATAGCAGACTTTGTTGAATGTAGCAAATGTTTCAAAACGGATGACTACCTGCACCTCAGATCAAAAAGACTACCTGACATCTACAGCTGTTCCTAGAAGTTGGGGATTCTGGGCAAGAGGGATGCTATGCATTTCGCTTGGATTTCTAGGGGTCTATTTTCTGTTTTTACTTTCAGTCTAACTAAAACACAAGTATTTGACATGATTTGTTTGGAAAACAGTAGGGGGCTCCTGATCTTTGCCCCAGTCTGTCATACTACTTACTACACTGCAATACCTACCCAGTTTCATGGTCACATCCCCAATGATGTTTCCTCCAAAACAGGAAGGGCCCACAGTAAGCTTCAATGCTGCCACGACTCTGCACAACTTCTGTGTGTGGCAGCAGGGCCAAAACGTCCAGGATGACAGCCATCCTTCTCACCATGACACAGCACTTCTCATCACCAGGTACATATTCCTCTCCCATCCTCACTTTGAAAGCAAAGCCAAGTTGCGTTTCAAAAAGAGGTTTTGTTTAATTTTGTATGCATTGTATGTTTTTTTTTTTTTGCAGGGAAGACATCTGCCGTGCGAAAGATAAATGTGACACGTTAGGTAAACTTTTGTATCTCTCTTTGCAAAAATATCCCCACCTCAAGTCCGTTTCAGTTAACTTTCCACTCTGTTAACTACAGCTCATAAACTGTGAAGTAATGAGTTTAGGGCAAGCTGTCAGCTAATAATATTATAGTGACAGAACAGAGTGGTAGAAAGGGGAGGAGGGAGGGAGTCGGTGGCGGTGCTAATCTGTCTTACGGAGCAGAAGTTTTGATGGTTTAATCGCCTTTAACACTCAAGCAGCAGGGCTTTTTTTCAAATAACTGTGTGTCTGTATGTGTTTAAATGCATCTGTGTGGTTTTCTGTGTGTGTACGTGACCCTGTAGGGCTCGCAGAGCTGGGGACCATGTGTGACCAGTACCGGAGCTGCTCCATCAGTGAGGAAAATGGAATTAGTGCCTCCTTCACCATCGCTCATGAGCTGGGCCATGTGTAAGTTCAGAAACAGAATAAAACACACACACACACACACACACACACACACACACACACACATGCTTTACACGCATACACCCTATCTCACCCCTCACAGCCAGCTTTGACCAACAAAAGCCCCTCTTATCAAGAGACGTAGGGCGCAGCAGACACAGGTGCAAAACATAATAAAGTGAAAAACTTGACTTTTAATAACATGGCAGACTATAATACCTTACTATACAGCTCAAGAAATTAACCCTGTAAGTGTCAGAGCTTAGTTTTGTGAGGACAACAAGCTCAGATTAAATTCAGTATAGACAATGTGGAAATCATAGTGTTCTCTGTTCTTTAAATAGATCTAAAGATTTTTTGAAAGTGCAAGGCTGAATAGTCTGCTTAGCATTTGGGAGCTCGCTTGTTCCCTCGCCACCTATCAGCCCCAGACTGATTGATCAGCCTGAAGATGTGACAGTGGCGTCATATTTAACTCTTCTGTTAGCTAATAATGGCAGTGTTATCACAACACGCCTGTCTGCCAGAGAATGTTATCACAACAAGAAAATATTGCCACATGTGTAAAATGAAAAAACAAAACAAAACAAAAACTCAAGTCAAAAAATGTGACTTCATCTTTCACATGGGGGCTGGGTTATTCCAAACATCTGTCAGGCAAAATTATGGTAAGTCACTCATTACTGCCTCTTTTTTTGAAACCAGGTTCAGTTAATTGAAATGTGGCGCAATTTAAGAAGCACGATCAGCTTAGATGTGATGTTTAACACATCACAAGCTCACTTTTGGGCCTCCCTGGCAGAGTATAAAAGTAAAACGAGTGAGAGATTTTCTTTTCGGTCTGCCTGTCCATGTGCATAAGATAGTAGAAAGCACCAGTGTCGTGTGAGCCATTGTTTAAGAATGGAAGATATTCTTCTGCCTTCTCTGTCCCGCTCACACATTCTTCCAGTGGAGAGATCGGACCATAGCAGCTAGATGGACAAGTCTGCGGGCCCCCCCTCTTCCCCTTTGCATCTTGTGTAGATCTGTTTATGCTAAAGTTCAAGCAGCTGGAGACCCAGTTGGCTCTGCCTCTTGGCGTGGTTAATCGCTGCGTTCACAGGCGTGAGCTCTCAAGAGTGTTTAGCGCTCTGGGAAAGCCAGTGTCAGTAGTGGGAGCCACTCAAGAGCATTGCAGATTAAAGAAAGATTTAGACTAATGGATAGGAAGCCTTTCTCAGATGACTGCAAGGACGTGTGATTACTATTAGCCATCATGGGGGATTTTCAGGTGAGGCACTGTCACTCGATAGCCATTCAAAGGTGACACACATAATCGAGTTTGTCATGAGACACTGCCAAGGCTTCACATGTCTCAGATCACAAATACATCTTTGACGTTTTGATATGACTATTAAAGTCATTAGAGTTTCTTTTTTCTTGAAAAATATGAAAGGCTACAGCACAAAACTTCACTGGCATTATCCTGATCACACATGACCTTAGCAAGCTGGCTAAGTGGATAAAATTACTGGTGTTGCCAAAGGTTTATTGCCAAAGGTTTATTTTGTGGAGCACAACATTTTGAGGAGCTAAAATTTGTAATCCACTGAGAATGTAGCAATCCATTTTTCCCTCTGGTGTCACTGAGCTCTGTCTCAGTTGAAGTGCTGATAAAGGCTGTTCCTGCAGACTGTGCTGTTTGCTGTGCCAAATCTGCAGGAATTCCCAACCAAGTCGTGATCACTCCGGTGGTATGTCTTACACTCACAGTTATTTATGGGCATTTCAACACAGAAATCAGTTTTTGTCTTGCTAGAAATGGCGGCAAGAGCAAAGCAGTTTGTTTTGTTGAGAGCTCTGACTTAAAGTGAGTGGAAATAATCACATTTTAGTCTAGATGCTATTAATTAAGTGCTGGGGTTGGTTCTCTCCCACTGGAATTGACTTCTCTATAATTGATCTGTCCCTCAAGGTTGCCAAACAGAGAGCCACAAAACCTCCTGATTTACGACCTAATTACGCTAAAAGGCTCACGTCTCAAGATTTCAAGCCAGTATCCTCATTTTTGCCCTTCAGATCTGGGTCATCTAAATCATCATAATGTGTTGCAAATTGTTTGGAGCTTGCCACAAATCCCAAACAATAAGAAAGTGTACATGGTCGCGGGCAAAGTATTGAACATATTTCAAACTTGCATCACCCAGACGCACCTGTGCACAATTATAAGTGACAAAAGACTAGTTGGCAAATACGATTTGAGCCAGATTTGATGTTGTCTGCATCAGCCACTGCTTGGTTTGTGTGTGGGGAGCTCATTACTGTGCCAGAGGCTTAATTATTCCCTGGACGTTTGCCCTTAGCCCCTGTAGGGTGGGCCTCATGCCAGCCATGTTATGTCTTGTTTTTGTGGAGGTATGTATTGACCCTCAGCCACAGTCCAGAGCTCAGCACTGGCCGACATTGAAAACATCAAGACATCATACAGCTGTATGGTTTTCTGTGTGTGTGTGTGTGTGTGTGTGTGTGTGTGCGCACGCATGTGTGCACGCACTACATGTATTTCTGGGTACATGCCAAACCGCAGCACAAAAACAGGACATCCATATTGGACTACATTATTTCGGACATGATCAAGAGCTTTATGAGACTGCAGACAGCTTGGATGAATTTATTAATTTGCAGACGCCATGAAATGTGTACTTCACTTTGTCCGTTTTCCTGTGAAGACCAGTGTTTGATTTATTATTATTACTGATGCTGAAAAAATTTGTCGATTTAATGGATCAACAGAAAATTTATTACCAACTATTTTGATAATCTTTTAAGCTTTTAAGTCATTTACTTACAAAAATACCAAACATTTACTGGTTCCAGCTTCACAAATGTGAGGATTTGTCACTGTTCTCTATTTTACATGCACTTTGTATGCACATTGAATGTCTTTTCAGTTTCACACTACTGGTCAAACAAGGGATTTGAAGATGTCACATTGTGCACTGGGAACTTGTGATGGGCATTTTTCACAATTTTGTGACACAAAAGACATCAAAAATCAAAATGGTCAGATGAAGAGATCATGAATATAATCATTACTCTGGTAAGAATAAATCTATACTCTTACATGTTAACACAGGAGCAACCTACACATGTGTGCTGATGTGCTTGCATGTTACTGCCCTTACCTTTTCCTCTGCATTAAGCCCTTTGAGAATGTGAGATGGTGACCTTTGACTTTTTCTCAGGGGTGAGCTGGAGGTGGTTCTCACTAGCATGTTGGCCATGGGAAGGGATAGATACAAATAGATAAAAAATTATGTTTTGCAGAAAATGTCACACCACCTACTGGCCATTTTGAAGTTTTATGGATGGGATTTAACTCTATAATCATATGGTACCTAATGCAAAGAGAGAGGTGTATGTAAAAAGAGACACAAACAAGAAACAGACTAGGTAGGAGAACGGTGCAGAGTGTGTGGTATTACTCATACTCTGGCTGGCTGCATCTGTGTGTGGTGGCGTGGGGGTGTTCCCCTGTCAAAAATGACTGAATGTAAATTTTGTGACATTTATCCTCCTTGCTACGACTGAGCCATTAAGCAGCTCATAATAACTTTGTGTGTGTTCCTTATATCCCTCTCTCCATCTCTAACCCACCCCACCCCCTCTTTGCACCAGGTTCAACATGCCTCATGATGACAATCCAAAGTGTCGGGAGGCAGGCATGAAGCACCAGTATCATGTCATGGCTCCCACGCTCAACTATGACACCAATCCCTGGTCGTGGTCCAAGTGCAGCCGCAAGTACATCACAGAGTTTCTAGAGTAGGTACCAGCTCTCCTTTCCAGTTTTAAACAGATTTATTATCACAACAAATCTCAAGAAAGAGACAATTATGCAATTTTTTCCCCCAATCTGATATTATCACATCCACATTTTAAGTGTGCCATTAACTTTTACTTGTTGTGACGTGGCCAGCTAAACAAACTGCTTCTACGTCTCTCACAGTGCTCTGTAGACAGGTCGGAGCAATGTAAACTGTGCGGAATTGTTATTGCCTGGTGTTGAAAGAGTATTTCCTGTTTGAATCTGGGGGTCTTCCTCGGCTGACCTGAGCAATGGATATTCTGCAACCCCTAAGCTGTCTCTCCACTCAGTCAGTCCTGCTCTCAAGATGCTGTGCAAACAGTAATCTTGTCACTAGCCTGCTTTCCACACCAAAACCTGTAACGTGGGGCAACGGCTCATTCGGCAACTCCTACCCGCACCGTGGTCCCTGATCCTGGTGAAAGGCTTCCCTTTAAGATGGGAAATGTCAGTTATAATTAGATCTTCCCTGGACATGACCCTTTAATCTTTGCCTCCTTTCCTCTGTTAATTGTAGAGGTCTTCACAAAGGACGGCCTTGTTGACCAGATGCATCTCGAGAGCTCAGTGTTAAGCGACGCCTTGTATGGAGTTTTAAGGTTGTGCCTCACATAGTTTCCAGCCAGCGATGACCACAACATGGAGTGATCGGAACGTCCAGCTAAAGATGAGGAGAATCTCCATGAATCTCTTTATTATTTGTCTTTTTGTGTTGGTTTTCTGTGAGTGCACAAAAACCATGGGGAGTTTGATGTAAATGGGGAGTTTGATGCATTTGGAGAAACTTTCGTTAACCATATGGTATATATAACAAACAACGCTGGTATGAAGAGAGTAAAGCAGCATTTCAGTGTGGGAGCCGCAGCGGTGGGAAAGGTCCTTGAGAATGAAGTCCAAGTGCTTTTGAAATTCGTCTCCAGCCAACAATGAGGAGCATTGATTCAATCTAGCACTTCTACAGTACCTCTTCTACTCACTCGGCTGATCTGGTCAAGTACGTCAGTGTTTTGACTGCCCGTTCTCCCTGAAGAGCAAATTCAATCTTCACCACTCTCGTACCTGTTTAAAAAACGAAAGGCCGCGCCACCTCTCAAACATCGCTCTTCAAAAGGAAAATGATTCCCCTCCTTCTCCCCCTTATCTCACTGCTGCGGTAATAATGTGCACTGAACTCCTGCACCTGAAAGCTGATGAAAAGCGCCCTGCTGTTGGGCAGTGTTATTATGTGTCAACCGCTACATAAAGCAACCATTCATTCCTTTTCTGGCACTGTGCCGTTTGATTTAAGCCTCAAAATCCAAATATAAAAGTAAAATGCTAATTTTTAACGGTTGCCACCCCCTAATTGTTGCGTTCACTGGGTGTTTAAACCACATTGTCGTTATTAGTGGGCAAGCCCTATCATTTACATTTATACACCTCATTATACACCGTATGTTGCTCTAAATTCAAGTAAACCTCTGTCATTATCTTGTTCTATATCTCCATATACAATAATCGGTACATGCTTTCAAAGACAAAACTCTGACATGACAGAAATGCTGCAGTTTACTTGGCACTGTTTGATCAAACGCTGTACAGTGATGCTCTGTGTTGTTCAACCCTCTACAAAGACCATCAATCTGACATATGAGTAGACTATTTGCTGAGGGAAACCCAGTATGGTGAACGTGGAAACTATTATTGTTTAGTCTCTTATGACAAGCACACAACAGTCAGCTAAGTCATCAGTTGTTGCAGTTGTAGAATCCCCTCTGGTGCCAGAGGAGGAATTGCCTCACTGTCTCAAATCCACACTGCTGATATTCTTTAAAAAATGTAAAAAAAAGTAGGCGTTGCATTTAAAAAAACGACCACACTGATCCCTGTACCCTCTGTCTGTCTGTCTTGGTCTTAAATAATAATCATTCCGTTAGGTTCCAGGACACTGATTTAGGTTCCAGGACACTGATTAGACAGATGACCAACTGCTGAAAGCCGCTGTAATATGGGACTGTTTGTATGATTCCTTGACAGGCTGCTCTATAGTTTTCACTCACAGTGTGTTCCACTGCTCCTTATGCAATCATTCCCCTGCCAACCAGCGCTGTTTGCTGCATTTTCTGACATTATGGAAATGAAAGGGGAAAGAAACAAAGTGACGGTAACTCAGGATAATCCTGTGTTATTATTGGCCTGTCACATCAGCTGGTGCTGTATGGAGCAGGTGTTTAAGCAGCTCAATTCCGGATTAAATTTGTCAGTGCGATGCAGACATGTTGTGTAATTACACATCTGTACATGTCTCGTCCGCCGGTTTCCTTTTTCAAAAGTAAACAAAAAAAAGAAGAGATCCTTTGAGGCTTGGCTTACTCTGCTAACATGTTTGACTTGTGCTTTTTCATAACCGTAAAGACTGATTTTATATGCAGGCTGTTGGTGCATACATTCAGTCCAGCTGGGCTTTTGTTGTCTCTGTTACCGTATCATGGCTCAGGGTGTGGCTGATATACAGCACAATCTGTCATTTTACTTTAATGCCAGTGTTGGCATTGATATATGTAACCTAATCGTGGTGCTTTATGATTCAAAATTCTCTTGTTTTCCTTCAGCACATTGCAATACACCTCAGATAAAAATGTGGTCAGGATGCAGATCCTTTTCAGGCCTGTATCAGAATGCTGTTTTATTCAGTCTGTGGCGCCTGACTCCAGTTTCATAATGACAGCATTTACTAACAGGCCATTGAGTGGAAGTGGTATCAGTCTCTTCGTTAGGTAACTTTACAGACCACCCACAGGGGAAAACACATCTAAGGATCACAGACAATGACATAGTAATGTTTACTTTACTTTTATGAAATATGATGATACATGTTGATCAGAAAATACTGGACTATCCTGAAAGTGTTCATAACATAAAGGTTTGTCTTGAGCATATGTCTGGTTGTGTACGCACTTGTATGGGTTTGTTCTTTTCTTTGCATTTACTGTACACACATTCTTACTCTATTTTTTTTCTCTATTTTTTTTTTGAAGCACTGGCTATGGGGAGTGCCTTCTTGATGAGCCTGTAGGCAGAACATATGAGCTGCCCACCCTCCTCCCTGGTCAAATCTACAATGCCAACCGGCAGTGTGAACTGATGTTTGGACCCGGTTCCCAAATTTGCCCATACATGGTAAGTTAGCTTGATATCAAAGCAAGCAAGCCAAACTGCACTGAAAAAGTGAAGAAATAAGACTTCAGGTGGAAACCTTAAACGTTTTAAGCAGATCAGATATTCATATAGGCCAACAGATATGAAACTGTGGTCAGTTAATTATGTGTAGTCATTATGATTCTTTAGTTTTTATATACAGTGGAATACATTTAATCTGTCACTTCCGATGCAGAATATATAACATGCATTTTACCAAAATATAAAGCCCCATTTCAGAATGCTCATCCACCAAGTAAAATATGATGCTGTGCCGCTTAAAATGCATCTTGCACATATCACACACTCATCCTCCCAAAAGAAGTAAGGAGATATGGGAGGAAATAGCTGTTAGATTGTGCTTCAGCTCTACAAGTTAAAATGTCATTAAATAAATTAAACATTTCTAGTCATAAGTGTATTTTGCATGTGCCTGAAAATTATCTATAATGTTCTCACATTTAGCTGTTTTACTGAGCCAAAATGATTAATTGCTAGTGCTCAATTTTTTCTGCCACAGAAACAGTGCAAGAGGCTGTGGTGTACAAGTGCAGAGGGGGACCATAAAGGATGTCGCACACAGCACATGCCACTGGCTGATGGGACTGACTGTGGACATGGAATGGTAAGTCAGTCCACGTGTGGATCTGTGTTGCTTTATGAAAAGAACATCAGAGTTGGCTTCTCTTTAATGAAAATGCATATACTTTTTAAGTTACTCACAGATGTTTTAGTAAGTAGTGTTACACTTTTTGAGCTACAGTCATAGGCTACAGTTCATGTTCAAGGCCTGTCGATTTAGGGTGTATACGTGTAGGTCGCAATACAGCCGCAGTCAAGTTGTTGGAATCAGTATTGTAGCGCTGTGTAACAACACCTATGATGAATGAGGATGTGAATTTTATTGAATGATATACAGTTGATTCCTTTTGCGAGGTGAAAAGTGCAACAGAAAGAGACAAACCTTCTGTATATTATATTATGTTTAGGTCAGTCACTGTATTGTTAGTTAATCAGTCACTTTATTGTACAACGTACAGAATTCCTTAACTCTACTGTCTCCTGAAATCATACCAAAATGTTTTCTTCACTGCGTGTGGTGGGATAAAATGCATCTGTATCTCACAAGAAATGCCTTATCCTCTTTTTATGGGGTAGTTTGCCAATGCATTGTTGTTAAAGCTGGCCTCATTGCATTTTAGACAAAATACATTACTGACACCAAGCCAAAACTCCCATGCAGTGCCGCTTTCAATCCTGAATCATTTCCCTTCTAGTTCACTTCCTCTACCAAGGAAAAGGAATAATTTATCATCCATTACTGTCCTGCCTGCTTTCTGGTTACACAAACCCATGTAAATGTGGTCAGGTGATGGCCCTAGTAGAAACTTGAAGCTTTACCCTCAGTGTTGTTACGGGGCCCCAACCCCCATTAGCCTTCATGTTCTCCTCACTCTGGGATGCTATGCTAATTAGGGCTGAGACGGCAGGTCAGTCACTGAGGATACATGGAAAGGAGGGCTGCAGGGGAGGGGGGCAGAAAGAGAAAGAAAGAATAAGGAAAGAAAAGAGACAGAGTGGGGCGAAAAAGAGGGAGAGAGAGTCTTGAGAGGGAAAGGTGAAGACGTGGGCCCTTTGAAAGAGGATGCTGCCCGCCGTTCACAGTTGAGTCACCTTGTTGTGAACCCATGACCCTAAAACCTCTTTAAAAGGCGGGTGAGTGGGTCAGTGGTCAGGCCGTAACAGAGCCCAGGCTGAGGCCAGCCAGTGCTTTCACAAAAGATCTCACATCAGTGATTCTGCAGACCAGGAGGCGGGAGGAGAACAGGGAAAGAGAGTGAGGAGGAGGTGAGGGGGGGATGAGGATGTGGTCGGCTGGTGTTTAGCATTCGTAACACGCATGGGAGGGAGAAAGAGAGGGAGAGAGAGAAGGAGGGTTCTCTTCACTCCTTAACCTTCTGCCCTCCAGGAGTCTTTTGCAGTGTGGGCCCATGTAAGTCTCATATCCCTTATATCCTTTCATTTGGCACCATCTCCCTCTTTGCCATGTTAGGTCGTGGATCAGCCCTGTCTAGCGAGGAGAGGTTAACAGGGAATAGCTAACATCTTAATCCAACTACAACAACCGGACTAAACAGTAATGGTCCTGGGATAGCAACTCCCATACTGCTCTCAGCCTGTATGTGGGAGAAACAGTTGAGGAGTCATGGTGTTAATCAAGTGGTTTGCTTTAATAAGCTACAAACCCTAAACCCAATTTGAGCTGACTTAGCTAGATGACAGTAGATGTCTGGTCTTCATTGAAACCCTATAAATGTAGCAATTTGCAGGTCCAAGATGCCTAGATATCAGGGTTAAAACCAGGTTAAATTAGTTTGAAAGGTGAACTTTTTTGAGACATGTAAGTTACATATAATCAATTGCAGTGAAGACCTACTTCACACTGAAATATAGTCAGATAAACGCTGCTAGCTGCTTTTGGTCACTGCATGTTGAGATGAAAAGTTAAGACAAATTCATCCTGAGGGGAACACGAATGTCTGTACCATTTTATGGAAATCCATCCAACAGTTGTCGAAAGATTTCACTAAAGAACCAAAGATCTTTATCTCATGGCGGTGCTAGATGAAAGATGAGGGGATCACCAAAGCCACTAGGATACATCCTCTGGGGACTATCAATGTCTGTACAAAAAATTTCATGTCGGTCCATCCAATAGTTGTTGAGATATTTCAGTTTTAACTAAAGTGGTGGACCAACTGACAGACCAACAGTGTCATTTGAGTTTGAGTAGAGGCACCACCTTTGTTTGTAGTGCAGAGGGCCCAGTTTCATCTTCATGCAGGGTGCTTTTTGAAGTAGCATGAGTTGAAAGGGGGGAGGGCTGTACCAACACTCACCTGCCCACACAAGAGCTCTTTTATGTGGTATTTTGGAATGTGTATTTGTGTGTGCACGAGTATGTTTGTGTTCATCCTTAGGCCAGCCTCAAAAGTCTGATAAGCTGCTAACCCAGGTGATTCTTTATGATTCTCTTGCATCAGTATTGTATTGTTCTATCTTTGTATCTCTTTTTGCCTCTCTTGCATCCGTCCACTGCGTGTCTCTCTTTTCCTAGACATCCTTAATGTATGCCATTTATCACACCTTCTCATCTCTTCCCCAGACTCATTTCTCATTCTTTCTACAAAGAAGTCATGAGGATCAGGTCTAAAGCTTTACAGGGTCTTAGGTCGAGCTGGGAGGTGGGGGAGGACTGGAGGATTACAGCTATGGCCTCAATGGGGGTAGACTATCAGCAGGCATTGTCTTAGCAACCATAGCTCCCCTTTGAACATCTCTTTTGTAGCCTATCATTAGACCAAATCCTGCTATGTCATTCTATACGATTACACAGGAAATGTCATCTCTCGTGAAAACTAGATTTTCTGAGTGGCTAGCTGTCACTGCTTGTGCCTGTGTTGTCTGGGGAGAGTTTTTGTTCTATCAGGTTACGAAACAGAGTAGTGACCGCATCGGGTAATTCAGGTCAGTGCCCAAAAAGTGGGAGGAACGTAAATACAGGGTAAAAAAAACGTTTGTTTGTATACAGCTTAGTTGAAATAGGGCAGTGGGCGCTACAGGGTTCATGGGTAGTTTTCTCCCCCTCTGTTCCCTTCTCCTCTGACTTTCTCTGTTTCTTCTCTTCTGTCTCTTTCCCTTCCCTCCTCCCTTGCTCCCTCTCTGTTATAACGGGCCCTCTTACAGGGAACCCGAGTGAGTAATGCGGTCACATGACCTCTTGGCGGCGCGTCTGTCATCTGGCTCAGTGGGCCATGCACTAACGAGGGCATCCCATCACTTGTTGTCTATAAATACTGCCACCACCCTCCCTCTTCTCCATCCACTAGTCTCTTGCTCTTTCTCCCTTTTCGGCCCCTCTCACTCTGCAAAAGGATCCTGCCTGTGTGTCTGTTTGTGTATGAGTTTTGATTGTGTGTGTGCATATATGCATGTGTGTTGTATTTATAGAATGATCTACATTTAATGTAAGTGTAAGCGTGTGTGTGTGTGTGTGTGTGTGTGTGTGTGTGTGTGTGTGTGTGTGTGATTAGGGGCCAGCCAGCATGGTCAATAAGCGACTATCAAGCCACAGCCAGGGGCCGCTTGGTCCTGTATGCACATCCCCACCGTTTGAAGATCCCTGCGCTGCCTCTCACCATGTCGTCGCTCAGTGGGTGGCAGAGGGAAAAAAAAGTGGTAACAGAGCTTGAATAAACTGTGGCGTTTTGTTGCTAAACTTCGTATTGTTCTCGTGTTTTTCTCATTTTATTGTCGACTGAAAGCTCCAAATTTTGGGGGGTTGAATTTCAAAATGAACAAAATACTTCAGTGTTTTTGAGTTCATTCAATACAATGACTACTTGCTGAGCTTTTCTTGAAGTTAGTGTAAAACCCAAAATGCTTTCCCAGCTACTCTTAATAGGGGCTTAATTGAGTGGTTAGTGTAAGTGAATAAATGGGAAGTTGTTTTTGATTTCCAGAACATTCCTCAGAAAAGAATGACGACCTGCTCTGGTTTCAGCCAATTAGACTGAGATAGTGAGGTCCTGAAAAGTGAAGCCAGGGCAGAATGGAGCCTGTTGGCGGAGGCGGTGAGTGTTGGCTGGAGCTTCCTGGCAGTCTGACAGACTTGTCGTACGATGCACGGACACAGGGTGGGTGGGTGTGTGTGTGTGTGTGTGTGTGTGTGTGTGCCTGTGCTTGTACTGGAGCTTGGGATTGTGAGACTGGTATCAGTGTCACTCTCAGCTAATCTCTGGATATTGCAGGATGTTGCCACTTTGATTTGCCATCAACACAGACATATCTGTGGATTTGGACTAACAGGGGGATTGTTGTTTTAGCATTCATGAAGTTTGCTGATGGAATTATTGTGTCCGGTAGCCAGTGAGTGGAGCTTTCATTGCTGGCTGTGTAGAAGGAAGAAGATGTACTGTATTTGCATGATTATAGTGTGGTGTGTTAAATGTGGCAAAAATGAATGCCCTAATACATAGTTATTAAAATCAGATGACTGTGTGAAGTGATATATTCATCGTAAATTGGCAAAAGGTGTAAATAATGACAAAATGACAGGAAGTCCACAAGAAGCTAAATAAAGAAAACTTCTGACATTATCAAATCTAACCATGGGTACAAATAAAGTAACCTGAACCTACCTTGTAAAGTTGTTAGCAAATAATTGCTTATTTACACATCTAGCAGCCGTAGAGCAAGATTAGCATTTATTTTGAATCTGACACTTGACAAATGTAACCCCAGTATTTCTAAGCTTATAGTGCTATTGTTCGGGTTTTAGGGACCACAGGTTTACTGTTTTTATTCACTCTCATTTCAAAACCTACTATGTACTACCAGCCCAGCATAAACATGTTTAGCGATTAGCAGGTGAACATAGGTGAGCATTTAGCAGAGCTAAAAGGAGAGTGAATATTAGACATACATTCATCAGGTGGAGATATACAAAACCCCAAATAAATGCCAATGTTGCTGTGTGTCTGCTTGTTGTGTAAAAAAGCCACGCTAACATGTCTTCATATCAACTTTATACGGTGACCTACTGTATGTCAAAGTGCTGTTTACAGGTTATTGTGCTGCCCCCAAGTGAACCAAAAAATCAATGCTGGTTTAAAAACAAAACAAATGAGCCAAAAGAGGCTAAAATCTCTAGAGAGCTGTTGAGTTGGATGATAACTCTGTGGGTTTATCACTACTAAGGGACACTTTTCACACTACACACAATCTTTTAGTCCATTGTTTTTACAAAACATATTGATTAAGGCAGGTTTTAGAAGACGTATGTCTTATCATCATCTCTGTACAAATGCTAAGTTGAAAAAAGTTGAGAAAGACCAACCGTAAAAGTGCATGTGCAATGAACATCTGATAGGGCCAAACTACTTATTCACTTTAATGACAACCTTTACGCTTCTTGGAAAGATGTGCAGGAAGGAGGGATCACAGAGAGTGGACAAACAGTATAGGAAACAGGTTGGTTGGGTTTAGTTGTATCTTGCTGTCTCTCTTGCTGTCTCTTGTTGCCCTTCCCCTGCTTCTCGTTATTTCTCTTCCTCCTGTCCTGTTTTTACGCCCTTTCAACACAAAGGAAAGAGGAAATATGGAACTAACAGGGTAAAAACGTAAAGTAAATCCAGTCTATAATAACAACTGTCATTTTATTTATTTACAGTCCTCTGCCACCCAAAGAGAGCTCTGACAAGAAGCCCTCACTAATGGATAGCCTCATTGTCTCTCTGACGGCTCTCATCTCAAAGTCAAATTATTAGACATGTAATGTTGAATGATGCCTTATTGAAAATAAACAGCAGTGGTCTGTGCCATTTTGACCAGTGACTCTAGATGTTTATTTGTTTTCGGATTGCAGTCTGTCTTAATTCATTGCATTGGAAAGGACTGAGGGCTCATAAGAGACAAAGACACAAACCCCCAACAGGCCAAGGCCAAAGTGAACTCTGAGCCGAGTGTGAGACATGTAAAAGACACCCCAACATGAAAGATGATGCCTTTTGGAAATGGCCGCGTTAAAATGAAAGAGCTGAGGGCTTTTTAAATCTCTGCCTTCTCATTCCTGCAGTGATGTATGGCTTGGGTTCAGAAATGAGGTGCTCTCTGCAGTTTCCTGGCAATTACAGGGCGCTAACTTCCAAACCAGCCAGCTGAGGAGCTCAGAGCAGATGCCTTAGATACTATTCCCACTGTGAGGTTATCATGCTGTTGGTGACTCTCTGTGGCTGTGTGGCTGAGTTGGTTAAACTTTTTTTTGTTTTTGGTGTGTTATTTGGGAGCATAGATGTAAAGGTATTGTGTGTGTCTCCCTGTGTATACATTATTGGCAAAATGCATGGATGTGATATATGTGTATGCACATATGCACATGTCTTGGGATGAGTTGGTGAGTCAGCGTGTGTCTTTGTGAAATTCCTAATTTGAAACACATGTTAGTCACAGCTGGACAGGTTTCTCAGTTTCTCTCACAAGACCTTCAAATGTCTCACCACATTCCCAATTGAGGGCAAATTTTGAAATACTTTCTAGGAAAGGGTCTGCCAGTGTCCTTAATGCTTGTTGAGCTTTGCCAAGCACTGCCTTTCACCTATGCGTTTTCCAAGGGTGTGTGTTTGTGCACTTCGGAAAGAGAGGCTAATTAGAATTGAGCGTGGCCCCCAGATGCCTCCAGACTCTGAGCAATCACTCTCACCACATATGTGCACACGCACACACACACACACACAGTCGTGTGCATGCTTGCATTTGCAGACGTATACACACATACATCATCTCGCACAGATGTATTTTCCCTTCCACTACCCCCTTTCCGTCTTTCTTCTTTTTACCCACATCACCTTTTCAAGCCAAACAAAACGGTTGTAAACACACAGTGGGGGGAGTGGAATGCCTCAGAGGCTTACACAAGCTTTGGTCCTCCTGACAGACAGTCCGCCTTGTATTTGACAGTTCCTTGGGTCCTGCTGCCTGGTTGCACTGTGGTGATCCCTGCATTGCCCTTGCAGTTTCTCATAAGGGGATAAGGGGGATGGGTGTTTGTGGAGAGGAGGTATAGAAGGGATGCTCACGTCCGGGTTAGGGGTCTCTCAGCCTAGGTGGGGGAAGGGGATGTGAGGGAAGGGAAACTATTTGTTGTGACAAAGGAAAACTCTTAAAAAAATATCTTTGACAATTCCATGAACTCCAATTGTTTAGCTCTTGTTATTCTTAAAGACGTTGCTCAACCAACAAATACCAGCACCTGTTTGCCTTTTTGTAGTGTGGAAACCAATTCCACTCGTGGATGTTTTATCACATTCCTTTCAGTGCATTTTATTTTAATTGTTCTCTAAATCTGTTGTTTGTGCTCCAACAACATTATCAGTGCCTTCAGTTTACATTACAGTGGAGTCAGACAGGAAGAAGGCCCTGGTCATTACTCAAACCAGGTCTGGATTATAGAAATGTTTGTGGCTTGTTTAGTCCATACCCTGCAGCTGTTAACACCTGTATGTCATTGTGCACAGACTTTACACTCCATCATTAAACCCGCAAGTGCGTAAAACACACATGCAAACTAGGCCAGGAGAGTAGAGGCAGCAGTGCCAAATTCTCTGTATGTTTACATGTGTTTGTATGTATGACTTTTCACTTTTGTAGGTGTTCCCCTAAGGTGAATTTTAAAGCAGAAACTGGCCAGAATAGCCGGTATCCAGGGGATGACTTTTTGATTGATATCCTCCCTGGTTTATAAGCGTGATTATGAAAATCCACTGAAGCGGATCTCACATGGTTCTATTCTCACTTTTTAAAAGTATTCAGAACAGGCGGTCTTAGTTTATTATCAGGAGTAGGGGATTTAATGTCTTTTAGTGGAATGGGCATGTGGCCAGTTGAAATGATAGTAGTTGCACTTCTAATCTGGAAATAGCTAGCAATGGAAGTAACAAATTGTGCATCAACCTCACAGACCAAACAGTTAAAAGTAACAAACTTAAGTGTCTGCAAAGAGCATCCTTCTTTTCACGTTACAGGTTAAAAGCTGTGTACCCGAGTAGTTAAACAGCTAAACAAGAGAAGAGAGTTTCTGATGTCAAGCCAGTAATGAACTTTGTTCCTCTTGTTATCACAGCTCTAGAGTTTCCTTATCATGGTGCCACTGCTCCCCGTGCTTGTGTGCCTGGACGGCAGGCTACGTACCCAGACAGACGCCGTCTTGTCCTGCATTCTTTCAGTGAACAGGACCCTTCGATATCTTAGTCACTGAGAAGGGGATTTGGTTGCATACAAAGGGAAATAGGCCTGCCGTGCTATGCTTATGAAAGCAAAGTTAGCACTTCTTGGCAAAGGTTGGTTAGTGGGCACATACTGATACCAGGCGCCTTATTTTCCACGTCAAAGTGGATCTACTGTATGAAAGATCTGTATTATGTAATGTATGTGTGTGTGTGTGTGTGTGTGTGTGTATATATATATATATATATATATTTACAACCCAAGCTAAAAATGATAAACAATTGTACTTTTTTTCCTACATTTTCTCCATTGTCTGTGCCATTGCCAATGGTTTTCCTTTCACTGTGTTTTTGTAGCTAATTTAATGTTGTGTTTAATAATGCCATTTCTATTGATGAGTTGCATCCGACAGTCAGAAATGTACCCTTTATGGAAAACAGGAAGACCAAAACTGTGATGTTGTGCAAAGCGGCTGTGAAACAGTAATGTTTTAATGTTGCGAGTCTCGAACTGCCATTGTTTGCATTAAATGGTCTATCTTTGTGATAAGGACAGAGCACGAACTGAACTGTTATACATATATATTTTATTGTGTATAAATTACCTTTTTTACCTATGTATTTTAATCTATGTGAAGTGTCTTTTAGTACCGCAGTGTTTCCTCTATATGCATTCAGCAGCGGCGGAATCACGACCGCCACTACTAAAATTTCCCACGATCATTAAACTATGCGCTACAAATGTTTTCACTCGCGGCAGCACTCAATGCTCGGCTCGCTTCCTCTCCTCGTTCTATGCAGAACATAAGTGACAGATGGTTTTATAAGAGCAGAATCGGGAGGTGCTAGCGAGTGTTTGATTGTCCGAGCGGCAGAAAGTGACGGTGAACGCGAGCGGAGGAAAATATTTTGGCAGTAAATGTACGGTGTCTGTAACAGTGTGTTAGCTTCTCAAGACCAAGAAAAGTCTGTTGTTTTCCACTTGCTGGAAAAGTGAAGCCGGTTAGCGCTAACTTAGCTAACATCTCCCCTCCTCTTCAGACTGCGCAGCTGAGCAGGAAAGCTTCAACAGCAGCTACAAACATTCATCTAAAGCTCACATTAAACTGGGGAAATACTACAGTTTTAAGCTATTCTAAGGTGCATCGCATGCTCATGGACACAAGAGCAACGTTGTAGAGACATGTTGTGGTGGGGTTTTATATTCAGACAAAAATTTTGCTTCACCTCCGCTGCTACAACTCCATCCTGGGGGAAACACTGTACCGTTATTATTATTATTATTATGCATAAGGAACAGTTAGGCAGCCAGGTTTGGGTGACAGAAGCACTACAGTAACATAGCAGCTAGGACAAACTGACAAAGGAATAAAGGATCTGGACTGGTATACGTAGTGGTTGACACGAAAACGTGCATGTGGTGGACAGGTAGGGAATGGCCACAAAATGGAGTGAAAGTACAGAGTATCTGGTGGATGGATGGAAAATGACAATGTAGCTGGGCTTGGGGAATAGGGAATGTGACTAGAGTGAGGGACTGGGAGACAGAGTGTGACAGCGAGTTCGATGCCATTGCCTTTAGTGAGGGTAAACAATAGCTGAATTACGATTTATTTTAAGAAATACCTTGTAAACGATGAAGATGGTAAAAAAGAACACTACTCCAAGCTCCAACACTACTGGTTCTGCAATGTAAGAGTTGCAGTCATTGTGTTTTAACAGGATCTATATGTGTGTTTGTGTCTATTCACACGCAGTACTGCAGACACGGGATGTGTGTAAACAAGGAGTTGGACCTGCAACCTGTTCACGGGGAGTGGGGACCCTGGGGGCCCTACAGTGTTTGCTCCAGGTCCTGTGGTGGAGGAACCCGGAGCACCAGCAGAGACTGCAACAAGCCTGAGTAAGAAATAATCTGACAGTTATGACAGTCAAAGCCATTACATACTATAAATATGTGTAAGACTGAACCAATAAGAAAAGTAGTTTAAAAGAGAGCAGTCATGCCTGAAAAAGAGTTGTATACAAGCTAAAGTGAGAAACAAACCTGCATGTCAGATTCAGTAGGTCTCAGCCTAATTTTAAGCAGTCCTGTTTCCTTTGTGTGGATTGAAATGTAAACTGCTTTATGTGTGTCACAAAGCACCAGTCAAATAAGTGTAGTGCTCCTTATCATCCGTCTTGATTTACTCTAGACCCAGAAATGGCGGGAAGTTCTGTGTGGGTCGCAGGATGAAGTTTCGCTCTTGCAACACTGAGCCATGCCCACGAGGATGGAGAGATTTCCGTGAAGAGCAGTGCTCTCAGTTTGATGGCAAGCACTTCAACATCAATGGTCTACCTCCCACCGTCCGCTGGATCCCCAAGTACAGTGGCAGTGAGTATGCCAATGTAATCCTAAAGCATGTAATTTAAATATCTTGTGGTAACTTCAGCTGCAACATCAAAGATGGATACTATTTACATCCAGCTATATAATGTAGTCTGAAGCCAGTGATACATTATTGCATAGCTTGGTGCATTTAACTTAAATACTGCATGTCTCCAGTTTTTGTCTGAACCTAGTTAGTCACTATGTGAATGATAACTTGGGCTTGTGTAAACTTCTCAAGCAAGTCCACATTGTGTGTAGGAGGGATGTGGAGGCCAAGACATGCAACTCTGTGATCTCTATGTGTCTACTGCATTTGTATCTAACGCACTGCATGATAAAAGCTGCCTGGCGTAAACCTTTCGTTGACATAAAGCAACAGCAGCATTATAGCACACAGCCCTTCCATATGAACCACCTGGCAGCTTTCTCTCTTGCAGCCGCATCTCATTCCTTGCCAAGATGGACTGCCCAGCTACATGAGATTACCATCTGGCGAAGACCACCATGTCTAAGTTACTGCAAGTGATTCATTCATTTAATTGATGCTGTACAAGCAAACAGGCCAAGCCCCGGAGCCAGCACGCTGTCAGACACAAAGTGATTTTCCCAAACAACTGATAAAAATTTGGCAGTTTCAGCGAGAGTCTGCTGAACTTTTCAAAAAATGTAACTGGGTATGAAATTAAAAATGTGAAGTGTTAATGTTTTGTTTTATTTCATCAGGATGGGCAAGTCACTTCTAGGCCTTTTCTGTTATTGTCCAGGATTTTTATTTTATTAGTCTCATTAAATTAATGACCTATAGTTCAACTTTTTCCATTATTTGTTTTCTTTCTCCATCCAGTACTCATGAAGGATCGCTGTAAGCTCTTCTGCCGGGCAGCTGGTACTACGGTGTACTATCAGCTGAAGGATCGCGTCATCGACGGCACGCCATGTGGGATGGATACTTTCGACATCTGTGTTCAAGGCCTCTGCAGGGTATATCTGTCTGTTAATAATAATGAGCTTATGCATACTCACACACACACACATGCACGCGCGCACACACACACACACACACACACACACACACACACACACATACACACACACACATCAAAGTCAATTTAACTTATTCTCATGATGATTTATCTGTGCCAAAGTTACATTTTGGCTTTTGCAGAAAAACAAACTTAACACGCTCAGCCTACTCATACTTTTACATGATTCACGTTTTGTAATTACTGGAAAGCAAATGTGTAGTTCAAAACATTCAAACTAATAATTTTAAGTACAGCATAATATTACATCGCTCTAAATCACAACATTCTATCTTCTCTTAATCTGTGCCTCCTCAGCAAGCAGGCTGTGACCATGTTCTTAACTCGAAGGCCAGGAATGACAAGTGCGGAGTATGTGGCGGGGACAACTCGTCGTGTAAAACCCTGGCAGGGACCTTCAATGATGCTCAGTATGGTAAGTCCGGCTGCTTATATTACATGTAAGGTACACTAATAGCTGACTGTTAACAAAAAAGGTGTTGCTATTACACATACTGTGTGTCAGCAGCTCTTGCAGATGATCTATGTTATATCTGATATGCTGTAAGAATGGCTGCCACAACTGCTGTATGCTCATATTAGGTGCTGATGTCATGTCTGGTTATGTTTAAACATATTAAGCTTGATTTTCAGCAACAATGCGTGCTTCTGCCAAATTTGGATAAATGCAGAACACCAGTCTTCTCTAAAGCTTCAGAAACTGATTTACACAGAGATCTCACTCTTTCAGGTCTTTCGATTGCAAACACAAACCTGACATCACCCCTTTGAACTGTCCTCCTTAATGCGGCGCTTCACCGTGGGCCAACTGCTGATTGCATCCAATTCTTTTTAGGTCTGGGCAGCAAAACGGCAGAGACATTAGCATAAAAGCTCTGGGTGTGGCCTCTGTCATGTTTACTTCGCATTAGTTTGGCGCTGAACTTTAGCATCTCTATCCATCTGCTTTCTCTCTGTACTCTGTTGGCTGGGGGTAGAGGGTTTTAGGACTGGATTGAACCAATCCAGGCACTGTGCTCAGCCCTGGAAATTTGGCTTGACCTTAACAAAGAGAACATGAGTGGGAGTGCAGCCCAGGCAGGAAATCTCTCTGCTCCTGAGTCTAGGCTTGTCTTTCTGTCTTTCACCCTTTTGTCCTTTCCTGTTTGATGTCTCTCTATTTCTTATTTGCTACTGTTGTCTCTTTCCTTTGCTTTCTCTGTGGCAATCTTTGTCTTTCTTCACCTTTTTTTTGTCTTTTGGGGAAGGTCCAAATTAAGTTACATCTTCATAAGCAAGGAAAAACAAATTGCGAGGCAAGATGTGAGATGAATTGGCGCATCAATTTATTTTTTTATAGTTTAATTCTGCAGATGTGTAAGACCTGACTGTTGCTGTGTATTTTTTAAATTTTCCAGTATTACAACAGATAGAAACTTGACACTTGGATGTTTTTGCTGGTCTCGATCCAAGTCTTTAGATTGTAAAGTTTAAAGTAAGTTAAGTGTAACCCATCAAACAAATGTTGAAATTATTACCAAGCACTTGGATTTGTAAACGTTGGGGCCAGATGGTGGTGCATAAATGAAAGAAATCCTTGGTATTACAATTCATTGTTCAGAAAAAATCTCCCCTTACTCACGCGGCTCCGTTACTCCGACTCTCCGACAGTTCAAAAGAATCCCCAGGCTGGTAGATGATGCAGAAGAATGATGAGGTGCAGTAAGTAGATGTCTGTGCGGCGATGCAATGCATGGGTGGGGTCCCTCAGCAGGCTAGCTCCCACGGTTCCACGTTCTCTTGAGTCCCTCAGGAAAAACGGCGCTCGGGAAAAACGGCTGACCGAGCTACACTTATCACTTTCACTGAAAAAAAACAAACGACTGAGCCCGCAACAACGCAGAAATTAACTGCAAGGTAATATTTGTGGCCACACATGTGCTTAAGTCTACAAATATTTATTCTCTCCGAGTTCAACTTAAAGTTTTCCACAAATCGATACACAACCGTTTTCCCCACATTGGCTAAGTTATCATGACACTGGCAATCACAAAGAGCAAAGTTTTTCCCATTAGGATCTCACGTGTAAAGAAACAGTCTTTTAACCATGTTGACTTAAAACAGTCAGGTCTAATGCCTAATTCAGACTACACTATATATGAAAGTGTAATGAGACCTTTGGCCTCTACAATTGCTTGTTTTATTTCATTTAGTGTGTCATAGTGAAAGTTAACTGACGCAGCATCTGGGCTCTCCCAATGTCTCAAAAAAAAGTTAGAATGTATGGTTCCAAGTTCACATTCAATCATAAACTTGTGATTGCATATATCAACATTTGTTTTTAGTGTCTGGTCCGCCACCAGACTTTGGCAAAGTCACAGAAAGAATTTATGATTCTATGACAATGAGCTCAGTGATTTCAAGAAGACAAAAATATTGTATTATCATCGCATCTTGACACTAGTCTCAAGAATACCATTCTGAATAAAGATAGAAAGTTAACTTTTCAATTAAACTGCTTTACAAGACCCAAGACATTGTACCTGAGATTTATGAGTATACTTGATACTGGCTTAGTTTTTCTATGTTTTCTGGTTTCTTGGAGGTTAAATGCCAGAATGGAAAAAATAATCCAATCTCAGTAACAACAAAAGAAATGTTTGTCATCAGCTCAGTCAGTATCCTCATCCATCAGGGTGAACTTGTGACACCCTCTAATTTTCCTCTGCAGGCTATTAATACATCGTCTTCTTTCTTACTAGTGGCTGAGAGAAGCATGTTTGAGGTAAACTCTAGCGTTCCCTAAGTGCAGCATGGTTGTGTTTTTTTTCCGCTAGGGTGGTGTATTTACTGTTCATCCCTGTGTCACTTTGTGGTGGCGGATGATTGTGTGTGTGGTCAGTTGCTAAGCTGGGGGATCTCCGTGGCCTCAGATGGCTTGTGATACCATGTTTCCTCAGAGGGGGGCCACGTTGGTGTTTTCTGAAGTTCATATGTCCTGTCTTTTTATGAGCTTATCCTGTCCCCAGTGTTTAGGGAGGGAATTTGACATTACACAGTGAACTCCAAGGGAGACTGTATAACTATATATTGTTTTTTGTGTTGTGGTGACAATATTTGGGTTTTATTGTGAAGGATTTTTTAAAAGTAAGTTTCTATATATCTTCTAATAGTGGTGCTTATGAAAGTAAAGTAGCTTCCTGTGCAGTGTGTGGCGTCAAGTGAAAACATTTTTCAATCATGATGACTTTATAGCTTATGATGATGTTCTACATGGCTGATGAGAGTAAGATATGTAAACCAAGTGCTGCCCCCGAGTGGCTCAAGGTGTCAGGCTAACCATCAGATAACACCACACCTCTTCAGTTTAGTTCTGTTCAGGGTTTTTTTAAGGCAGCATTAAGTAGTTGAAAGGCACCTGACCAAAAGGGTTCAAATTCTCAAGCTGAAATGCTGACCTGAAAATATTGTGAATATTGGCAAGTCTTCTACAGTATGGAACAGCCACATTTAGCCTTTATTACATGATTTTACTCTGTAATCCTTAATTGTTGCTATAAACAATAATATGTCGTTGAATGCTGTCCAAACACGAGCAGCTGTACAAAAGCCTTGCCTAGAGAAAGTACAGTTTTTTTCTTTATATTTTGCTTATTTCATACCGTGCTCCCTATTCAGTCTCCATCCCTACATTTGTTGTTGCATCTTGGCTTTGACATGCTCTGTCTCCCTCATGCACACTTGTTTTATGTGTTAGTTTATCATGGGACAACAGGGCTGGTGTTGTAATTACAGGCCAAAAGTAGGTCCAGGGAATAATTACATATCATTTCACGGTCGGGCCTCTGAGACTAAAACAAGGCCTCCTGCAGGTTATTTGAGTGGACTAGACCTTTTTCTTGTATTTTTTCAAGTGTAACATTCAAATCCCTGGTGGTTAGAAGCGGACTTCCCTGACTGGGGTTGGGTGTAGCATAGTGAAGCTATTATGAAAATCAAGGTGGGACCGCTCATTGCTGTTATATGGCTGCTTTGCTCCCTTTAGAGACTTATTTCAAAATTGTGTAACTTTCTGTGCTCTCTGTCTCACTCTCTTGTTCTGTCTGTCTGTCTCTCCTTCTTTTCTTCTGCTTCAGGTTACAACACAGTGGTGAGGATCCCAGCCGGAGCCACCAACATTGATATCAAACAGGTCAGCTACTGGAAAGCCAGAAGACGACAGCTACCTCGGTGAGTGTGTGTGTGTGTGTGTGTCAGTGCCACAATGTGGTTTTAAACAACACTTTATTAAATTGTGTTTTTTCTTGGGAGAATCAACCAAAAATGGAAGCAGTGCAGCCTAAAAAGATGTGTATATATTACATCCTTTCAGTTCTCGTCTCATAAATACCATTATCCCCTAACCATAAACCACCTAGACTTGGTGAGCCAGAGCTGTAAAGGCAAGCTTTTAGTGAATGAGGGCAAGGAGACATGGGCAAAACTGTTGTCTAACCATTTATATGAAGGAAAGGAAACTGTCATTTATACTAAGTGTATATGGAGAAAACATGAAGGGGCGTTGGTCCATCTGGTCATGGCAAAGAGGGTTGGTTGGGAAAGCAAATGGAGTGTCAGTCCCTGAGAAAGATAAATGAGGCAGCAATAGGTGCTAATTAGAGGCATGTGGAGCCCAGGCCGCATGAAAGTAGATATAGGGGTATAGGGTTAGATGGACCCACCAGGCTCTGTGTGTGTGTGTGTGTGTGTGTGTGTGTGTGTGAGAGAGAGAGCAAGACAACAGAGTTTTGCCTATGTTGTAAGGACGGGGTGCCTATTTTCAGATGGTTCAAGTCAGGTTCAAGATGTTTTAAGTCAAATTGTCAGAGAACACATCTGGCAGGGATTTGTTGCCATGCTGAGGTGAAAAGCTTGACTCCCGCTGTTGCTGAGTGCATCAACTGCACATTGAGTGAGTGGTGTCTGTATTAAACGTGGTTAGTATTTGCTACACCCTGTCAATTTTGCCACTCCGGCTGGTACTGTATGTAGAAAAATGGCATGACATATAAAGGAGACATGCATTTGAAGTTGTGGCTCCTCAACTTTAAAACTTTCTCCGTCGGACTTGGACACCTGTTGACACAATTAGAAAGCAGCTTTTAGATTTGCTTAGTTTTATTTTATTTTTTTAATCTCTATTTTATATTACTTATGTATTGTGTCGCTATTTCATGTCTTTTCTGTTTTTCATTGCAAAACACTTTGTGAGGTCTGATGTAGAAAGGTGCCGTATGAATATATTTTACTCAATTTTACAATGCTATGGTGCAAAAGTGTGGGTCTTTTGGGTCCCACTTTGGGTCCAGTGCAAGTATTTGATGATCAAGGTAAGTTTTCGCTCAGTAGACCTTCCTCAAGGAAAATGGTTCACAAAGGGCAGTCCTTGAGCTTACAGTGACATCAAAGGAAGCCCAGCTGTGCTTCGTCTAGTACACACGAGAAATGCAGTTCACAACTGCTGTTCCCAAAGTTAATGTAAAACAACAACAACGAAAAAGTGACCGTAATGTGTTCACAGTACCTAAGCACTGTGTCATGAGTGTGGTGACCTCCTAAACAGCCTCCCCAGGCCATGACATTTCAGAGTGTGCTCTGATGCTATTGTTAATTTAGTAAATAAACAGAATTGCATTCTCATTTGAACACTGTTATGTGCATTATCTGTCCCTCTCTCTCTCTTTTTTAACTGATCCATCAAATTGAATAGAGCTCACGGTAGCTCAGCACCTTTTTAAGTTGATGTTGGTTTCTCCTTTTATTTTTGGTATTTAGAACAGCTTGTGTACCTGAAAACAATATTTGAGGTGTAAATTTTTCTGGAGAACAGGCTTCAGAAGAAGCATCTTCTGGTCAGCGTCATGCATAAGAAAACTTTAAGATGTGTGTAATTGTTAAGTGTGTGTGTGCACTTACCAACCTATCTAACAGTGGACCTCGACGTCGTTACACACCCACTAAGAGGGGACTAAAAAGTGAACGGGGACATTTTTTAGGTCCCCTGTTGGACATGCTTTAAATCATGCTAAAACATTCTAAAACCATCTGGTAAATTTTTTAAACTATTGTCAAGAGGGGACCTGCAGGTGTGTGAGTGTTTAAGTCCATACTCAGTGCCTCTAGTGGATCAAGCAAAGATTTTAACGACTCATTCACACACGTCGTTCTTAACACTCCCCTATAGAGTGAATGGCTTGCAGCCCCAGGGTCTATCAGACTGTAGAGGGGCTATTATACAAGCTACTCAGTAAAGAAAGCTGTCACTTGAAACACAATTTCTTAATTTTTTCTAACAAAATACAGGCTGAGTTTTAGTCGATGTCTTGTGTTTTAAGATCACATGTATTAAAATACAGGGCTACACTGAAGGCCTGGAGAATTTTAGATTCTAAATAAGGGAACAAAAATAGAAAAACAGCCAGGGTAGAATTATAAATAAAATGGACAGTATAAAGATACTTTTATGGTTTTAATTCATTAAAAAAATGAATGAATTAATAAAAAATTATTTGACATTTGTTATCTAGAGATTTTAACTTGTTCCAGTCGCAAAATACTAACCTGACCAGATTTCACAAGCACTGGACATCAATACTCCCCCCCCCCCCCCATTATATTTGTGTGCTTAGTCTACACTTAAAGATATGCATTTCATTTATTGATTTGAATTACAGAAAAAGGGACCACACTTGTACTGTGTGGAACGACAGGAGTCCACTGTTCGCTTGTAGATGATGACACAAGTTCCCTCTTAGATAGCATGGAGCGATAATCACACTCCAACTTGTGAAAATAATAAATAAGCAATTTAATCGTACTTTTGAGACAAAATAAACTAACTAATAGTCTCTTTATTTTCTATACATTCTTTTGAAACAAAATATAAAGGCTGAGTTTTAGTGGATGTCTTGTGTTTTAAGATCAACATGTATTAAAAAGGGCTACACTGAAGGCCAGGAGAGTAAATGAATTGTAGATTCTAAAAACCGAACAAAAATAGAAAAACAACCAGGGTAGAATTAGAAATAAAATGGTCAGTATAAAGATACTTTCTTTACGTTTTAATTAATTATAAAAAAAAATGTATTTTAATAAAAAAATATTTGACATTTGACATCTAGAGCTTTAAACTTGTTCTGTCCCAAATACTAACCTGGCCAGCTTTCACAAGCACTGGACATCAATAACAAATTTTTTTCATTATATTTGTGTGCTTAGTCTACACTTAAGATATCATTTCATTTATTGATTTGAATTACAGAAAAAGGGACCACACTTGTACTGTGTGGAACGACAGGAGTCCACTGTTCGCTTGTAGATGATGACACAAGTTCCCTCTTAGATAGCATGGAGCGAAATCACACTCCAACTTGTGTAAAATAATAAATAAGCAAATTTAATCATACTTTTGAGACAAAATAAACTAACTAAATAGTCTCTTTATTTTCTATACATTCTTTTAAAACAAAATATAAAGGCTGAGTTTTAGTGGATGTCTTGTGTTTTAAGATCAACATGTATAAAATAAAGGGCTACACTGAAGGCCTGGAGAGTAAAATGGATTTTAGATTCCAAAAAAAGGAACAAAAATAGAAAAACAACCAGAGTTGAATTATAATTAAATGATTAGAGGTAAGATACTTTCTATTCAGTTTAATTAATTGTTAAAAAGTATTTCACATCAGACTTTGACTACAGCTTTAAACTTGTTCAGTCCTAAAACACTAAACTGACCAGTTTTCACAACCCTGAATGTCAATACATTTGTCATCATATCTATGTGCTTAGTCTACACTTACAGAAATGCATTTTATTTATTGATTTGAATTACAGAAAAAGGGCCACACTTGTACTGTGTGGAACGACAGGAGTCCACTGTTCTCTTGTACATGATGACACAAGTTCCTCTTAGATAGCATGGAGCGATAATCACACTCCAACTTGTGAGAAAAAAATAAATAAGCAAATTAATCATACTTATGAGAAAACTAACTACAGAGTGTCTTTATTTGGTATAATCTGTTATTGTAAGAAAATATAAAGCCTGAGTTTTTATTGAAGTTATTTTCAACAAAATCAAAGGTTGAGTTTTAGTGAATTCCTAAATTGTTTCAAGCTTCAGACTACTAAATGATAGACTACCCAGTAGAGCAGAATGAGTATTTTAAAAGCACAAAAGTGAAGTAAAAACAATGAATCAAGGTCAGCTGGCAAGATCTCTTCATTTTTAATCAATGGATTTAATGCTGTTATTATCATGATACATGACCAGTGTTTGTATGTGTCCTAAATCTATTTTAGGAAGTTGTTGCTCGCAAACACATTGACAACAGACCTGTCTGTCAATTGAATAGTTTAGTTTCCTAAACACCGCTGCACAAATCTATCCACACAATGTTGTCA